AATCTTAGGAGTTGGTTCTGTTTGGGTCCTCGGAGGGCAAGCACGTAGGCACCGGCTTACGAAGGCCTTAGGATAGCCATTTTGCATAAACTGGTCGCGGAGATGTCGGGCCTCACGTGCTTTTTCTTCCGGGTTACTGCAGTGAGCCTGGATTCTTTTGATCAGCATTCTCACACAGCTTCGTTTGTGAGCCATCAGATGGTTGCTGTGAAAACTGAGAAGCTGTGTGGTGTTCGTCGCCTTCCTACAGACCCTCGTTTCTATTTCGCCGTCGGGAGTTCACATGAAGAGTACGTCGAGGAAGGGCAGCTGCTCGAATTGTCAAGGATTCAGAAGATATGAGTTGATGGCGATCCCCAAGATTGAAACCGGCAACCTTGGGTCATTGAGTGCATGAATCTACCATTGCACCTTGGACCCGTTTGTTTTTTGTCGGTTGCTGTTATAACCTTGCGTGTTCCTGTGTCAACTTCGGTTATGTCCCCCAGTTGCGCGTTAGGAAGAGAATGCAGAACAGGATAGCAAATAGTACTTTACTCTCAGTTCTACTAATCTATTAGCTCTGTTTCTTGTATATCCAATAGATTGTCTTCTGTGTCCGTCGGCAGCTTGTGTTCTGTCGCCGTCTTGGCCAACAGCGTTCCGTGTCTCTGGCAGCCGTGTCCCGAGTCGCTAGCAGCAGTATTGCGAGTCATTGGTAGCGCGTCTCCAGCAACAGAATGTCGTGTCCCAACAGCAGAATTTCGAGTCGTCGGCAGCGTCTGCAGTCATAGTGTGCCGCCTTCAGCGGTGGCAGCACATTTAAAGGCCAGTAGTCATTGTTCCCTATTGGCTCTCTACGGGCAGCCGTCATGCCTCCAGGCATCGTATCCTTAGCGTGACCTCCCGATAGCCGAAACCCGGCCGCGGGGGAGTCTCGCTTGCGCGCACCTTCTTTGTCCTGGCTTACTAATCACCCTTTGAAGGTCGCTTGTAACTGTATGAACCGGTCGCCATTATAATACCCTTGTTCTGGTACCCTCAGGATTACCCGACTGATAACTCACTTCCGGGCCGTCCCAACAGTTGCGATTGGCAATATCATAAGAATAGGGGGCTCACCGATCTGGTTAAGGACCGGTATGTACCGTTGTGCCATGGAGTTCACATTAGGATCCCCACAGGCAGTCGTCTAGCAACTTATGGGATAGAATGAAGTAGAAACGACAGAGACAAGGGAAACCGGAATGACAATTTCCGGTTTATAAGCCGTCATCGGGCTCAGTCATATCCACTCCCAGTCGTGGATCACCCGAGTGGGCTCCGGAGCATAACAGGGAATAAGCGGTCCTTAAGCAGATTGGTGAGCTCTTAATCTTATTTGCATATACCAAAGAAGGATGACAGCATTTGGGGGATAACCTTATACAGAAGTGTCTCGGACTTATTTGTCTTCATTCAGCCAAACATAACCCAAGCGCGCACACGCATGGTGCAGATGGTCCACCACTGGCGTTTAACAAATGGGTGCCTTAACGGTGCGTCCTTACCGCCCGTCCGTAGGCTCAAGCTCCTTGGCGTGCGTTTCGATCCGATTTTCATGTTCACGGGCCATGCCATGGAGGTTGCAGGCAAAGTGAGCTGCTACAACAAGGCCCTAAAAGCTCTAGCGGGCACATCTTGAGGCTGCGCGAAAGAAACCTTAGCGACCACATTCAAAGCGCTGGCCAAACCGCACCTCACTTATACGGCAGCAATCTGGTCTCCTACAATCAGCTCTTCCAGGCTTCGCCGCCTTCAGTCAGCAAAGAAGGCTGTTCTCCGCACGATCACGGGTTGCTATAAAATGTCGCCTATCGATCATTTTCATGTAGAGGCTTCCGTCCTGTCAGTTGCCCAACACAACACACTCCCAGGCCAGCAGTTCTGGTGGACCTGTTCGCAATCCGACCAAATTAATCACCACCGTTGCCACGCTCCTGAACCCAGCCGCAATGTTTGGCCGTCTAGTAGAGCTCACCATAAGGAAACTGTCACCTCGTCTCTCTTGGATCTACCCGTTGATGCCTCTGCCACCAAAAAAGGCTTCCAGAGTCTTCACTAGAGAGCCGTTGTCAAGGAAAAATGGGGCTACTACCCCCCCCCAGTCCTTTTGGACGGCTATCTACCTCCGATTGTGGCCTCA